AGGCATGTGCCACCAATGATCCTGCTTCGGGAACAAGGTGATACCATCCTTGACGTCGTGGGAGGCATTCCACAGAGCCATACATGGCGGCTCCATGCCCATGGATGCCGTGTGTGTTGCCACAAATACATCCAGGCTCGCCATGCGCCTGTATGACAGACCTGATACCACCTCGGAATGCACGTGAATACGCAGGAGCTGCAACAGCCTGCGCAAGCCAGCATACACCCAGCCGCCGGGTCGGACGAATACGTGCGAACTCCAGTTCGCTATACCAGCTTGGGTGCACAGCCGATTGAATACTTCCGCAAGTGTGCCCAGATACTGCGCGGCTGGATCTTTGAAACCATCAAAGTTGCCGAATACCAAGCCAGGGTAGAAGTATACAGCGAACGCCATCCACTCTGGGGTCTCGATGCCTCCCATACGCCGCTGGTTCTCGACCATACCGTTCTCCTTTGAACGGCGCGTGCTCTCCGCGGTCGACACACACAGGCATACGCCCGTGAGTCCCTGCCACATACACGGAAAATACACTGCGGTCGCGAACCACGTGGTCTCGCGCAGCACCTTTCAGGAGAGAAAAAAGTACCAATACCACCAGCTAAGGGGGTGGCCGCGCCTTCCCCTCGAGCTGGTGGCACCTCGTTCCAGGCACTCTCTGGAGGCATGCCCGGAAGGAACCACCAGCTCGAAGAGTGAGCGGCCACCCCCCTAGCTATGTGGTACTGTTGTCTCTCCTGAGCCTTGAGCCATTGGAATACCAATCCGTCCCCGCCGGGTGACACAGACCAGCGCCTCATACCCTCGGCCACCTCCTCGTTGGATGGGATATACTCCCCAGTCTGTTCGTCCCACTGCCCTGCCATTGCCAACAATACGGACGCGCGTGCAAATATGGAAAGAGATACGAAAAGCAATATACGACTGGAGCCCCAATGGCTAAGGCACACACATAATGCTGTGGGAAAGTGCCAAAGTCCATACGAACGGAAACGAAGCACATACATGTGTCAAACTGATCAGACAACTCAATCTCACAAGCAGGTGAGGTTGATGGCGGCTCCTGTTTCAAAACAAGAGTTCCCGATGAGGCACTCTGGAGGGACCCAAGGGGAGGCGCCGTGAGAGGCGGGGCCCGAGGCCTCTGGGGGCTGGGGTGGGCCAGGGGGATAAGGTTGAGGGAGGCCTGTTTCAAAACGGGGTTCTCGCTTGAGTTCCCGATGGGGCGCTCTGGAGGGACCCGAGGAGAGGCGCCGTGAGAGGCGGGGCCCGAGGCCTCTAGGGGCTGGGGGGGGCCAGAGAGGGCACGGAGGATTAGGTTGAGGGGGGCTCCTGTTTCAAAACAGTGCTCTCGCTTGAGTTCCCGATGGGGCGCACTGGAGGGACCCGAAGGGGGGCGCCGTGAGAGGCGGGGCCCGCGGCCTCTAGGGGCTGGGGGGGACCAGAGAGGGAGGATGAGGTTGAGGGCGGCTCGTGTTTCAAAACGGGGTTCTCACACTGATAGGACAACTCACACTCACAAGCAGGTTAGTCAACATATTGTCACATTTCTGGATCAAATTTCAGACACATGCATTTGTTATATATGGTACATATTGCACATGATACATATGATAGACATGAGACAAAGACACACAACAGTTGGTCACATTTTTGGGACAAATTTCAGACTCATGCATTTGATATAGATGATACATATTGCCATTGATTTCCTGGACATGAGACTAAGACACACAACAGTTGGTCACATTGTTGGGGCAAATTTCGTACACATGCCTTTGTTATATATGATACATATTGCACATGATACATCTGATAGACCTAAGACAAAAACACACAACAGTTGATCACATTTTTGGTGCAAATTTCAGAAACACGCATTTGTCATACATGATACATATTGCACATGATACATATGATAGACATGGGATAAAGACACACAACAGTTGGTCACATTTTTGGGGCAAATTTCGGCCTCATACATTCCTTATTGTGATACATATGGCACATGAATAGATTAGACATGAGACAAAGACACACAACAGTTGGTCACATTTGTGGGGCCAATTTCGGGGACATGCATTTGTTATACATAATACATATTGCACATGATATGATAGACATGAGACAAAGACACACAACTGTTGGTCACATTTTTGAGGCAACACCATGCATTTGTTATACACACAACAGTTGATCACATTTTTGGTGCAAATTTCAGAATCACGCATTTGTCATACATGATACATATTGACATGATACATATGATAGACATGAGACAAAGACGCACAACAGTTGGTCACATTTTTGAAGCACATTTCGGCCTCGTGCATTTGTTATGTATGATACATTTTGCACATGAATATATTAGACATGAGACAAAGACACAAAACAGTTGGTCACATTGTTGGGGCAAATTTCGGGGACATGCATGTTATATATGATACATATTGCACATGATATGATAGACACGAGACAAAAGCACACAACTGTTGGTCACATTTTTGTGGCAAATTTCAGACACATGCATTTGTCATATATGAGTCATATTGACATGGTACATATGATAGACATGAGACAAAGACACACAACAGTTGGTCACATTTTTGGGGCAAAATTCAGACACATGCATTTGGTATATATGATACATATTGCACATGATACATATGCTAGACCTCAGACAAAGACACACAACAGTTGGTCACATTTTTGGGGCAAATTTCGTCCACATGCACTTGCTATATATGATGCATATTGCACATGGCACATATGATAGACACGAGACAAAGACACACAACAGTTGGTCACATTTTTGGGGCAAATTTCGGACACATGCACTTCTTATATATGATACAGATTGCACATGATGTGATAGACATGAGACAAAGACACACAACAATTGATCACATTTTGGGGGCAAATTTCGGACACATGCATTTGTTATATATGATACATATTGCACATGACACATATGATAAGCATGAGAGAAAAACATTATAGGACAACTGAAACTCACGAACAAGTTTGTGGGGCACATACACCCACAGACCAGGTGGTCTCATTATTTGGGACATTTTGTTTTGCCACTCCCGCGCACTTCATATATGCACTCCCGAGATGCAGAGAAGCAATGCCCTGGTCTAAATGCATGCAGCCCCTGCCTCCCCAGTGCGCACGCACGACTCTGGAAAATTGCTCATATACCGTGCCATCAGGCAGTGCCGAAATCGTTGACGGCGGAGCCCTGTGAGCCCACCGCCTCCACGTCAATACCGTTGCGGCCCAACGCATGACGGACCTTCACAGCAGCCTGGAACTCTTGAAGTGATACCTCCTGCTGCTCTGGACCAGCTCCGTGAAAACTGTTCCCGTGATACCTGAAACAGGTGGCGGCCCTGTGGTGACACTGAGCCACGAATGCCAACCCCCCACAGCTTTGCCAATGGGCCATCATACGCACTCGCGAAAGTTTACCCTTGTCGAGCCACTCATACACTTTCTTCGCATGCTGGTCCAATGCCGGCTCAGTCTTCGTGTCCGGCAGCACTGCTTCGTCCATACCGCTCGCACGCAGAGCGGCAGCACCCCTTTTCTCATACTGCTTCTTGGGTGCCAGGCAATACTGCAAGGACGGCAGGATCTCCTCAATCTCTTTGTAGAACTCCTCATACATCGTCGGATTCAATACCGCCTTGTTCGCCGCCTGTACCGAGGGATCGTTTTGATGCTCGCAGAAGGTCTTCATCGCGTGAATGAAACGGTTAATACCGACACCCCTCCGCTCCGGCTCCTTGCTGCACATCTCCGACATCCATACGGCCCCACTCTTCAGCGGCTCCTGCATCTCGTTCCATACCTGCTTGTCCGATAACTTCGCGAACTTGGAAGGCCCGTATACGTTGAGCAACTGCGACGGCAACGTCTCGAATACCTTCAGCCACTCCCGCTTCTTCTGGTCCTTCGCCTTCTCCGCTGAGGCCGGGGCGCCCGGTTGCGCCCCTGGAACCAACATCGCGAAGTCAGTGGCCATACCACTGTCGAGGCTCATTGCGACCGATTGGATCGAAACCGCAGGGAATATACTTCCGAGTGGGAAGACTGGTACTGCCGCGCCAGCTGTGAGATTATATGGCTGCAATGGGAGACGTATGATACACATGAGACAAAGTCAACACATAGCATTTTAACATTATCGCCTTTTCCGTCTTAGAAGCGCCGAAGACGTTCCAAGAGGCCCAAAAAAGAGGAGCAAAGACGGCCCAAGAGGACCCCAGTATAGCCCTGGAGGCCCCCCAAGACGACCCCGAGAGGCCCCCAAGATGGCCTCAAGAGAGTGAACTCGAACAGACCCTTCTAGTCCTCCACCCCAAGATGACCCCAACAGCCCCCATTTTTGGGCCAGTTTGGAGACGCAACATGTCGGTATATATGATACATACCAGCCTTGCTCTTTGTCGGAGATACACGCGTAGGGAGCCACCGTGTGCTCAACAAGTCACATTTTTTTGGAACAGGTACGTGAAAATACTCTTTCTATGCATGCATGTATGTCTGTATGTATTTCTGCATTGTGTATCTATGTAAAAATGTTATAACACATGCATACGACGATATGTAACTCTCAGCGCATGTCTCGACGTACGCGTTATATGTCATTCATACGACGTATGTAACTCTGAGTGCATGTCTCGACGTACGCATGTGTATGTGCATGTGACTGTGTAGGTAAGGTCTATGTGTAAAGAATGGCTATGCGCGTCGAACTAGTATGTTTACATGTGTGTATGTATGTATATGTGAATGTCATTGCTGCTATATGCTCTTCTTTCATACTTTTCTGGTCGACCACTGTGTCAGACAACATGCAACTATACAAATGAACACCGCCCTCGGGGTTCAGCCAGCAACGCCTCCAACTTGACTTTGGATAATCGTCTGGTGATCCACCTTCCCTGCATTTTAATTCTTTCATACTCAGAGCCGCCGCGAGCGTGCACTGCGGATACCAGCTCCTCGTAACTCCTCTTCCGCGCCCCCGTGCCTGCAGGCTTCTGCATACCGCGCTGCACCAGCACCGCGAGCTTCTTCTTAGTATACGACTTCGCGTACTTGATACCCAGACCCTTCGCGGCCTTGACCAAGCCGCGATACTGCTGATTGTGCTGGACCTTCTGAGTCACAACGCTCAGACAACTCGCGAGCACACGGAACTCTGGAATGCCATCCAATTCAACCTTGGGACACAAACGGCGGCGACCCATCTGAAACGCCACCTCCCAAGGTCCGCCAGCGCGTTTGGAGGGTAACTTCCGCAGCACAGCGAGTGATACACCCACACAGCTGCGGATCTCCTCCAAAACCTGAATTGTGTAAGGAAGCGTGGATACACTGCATGCGAGCCCATGTCGGACACGCGAAACATTTGCCCGCACAGACTTCCTCTTGTCATGCTGCTCAATGAGATACCAAAGACCACGCAGCGAATACCTATTGATAGCCTGCCGCGTCTCGCAGAACAATACATACATGGTCGCGGCACTCACTTGAGACGTGGTGTTTAGAGCCTTCCTCATACGACCCAATGCTGTGGTCATACTGTCGCAGGACACCACGCCAAAATGCGCGAGCCCCGCCGCAGCATTGCGCCCATACTTCCGACACTGCCGCTTCAGAAACCACTGATGCAGCTCCTCGGTATACTCCGCGGGCGCGCAGCCCATGAAAAACTCAAGCATGTGCATAAAACACCGCATACAGTCCATGCTGTTATACTTACCTGCCATCTTCACCTGGTTCTTCTGAACAGCCACGGCCACATAGTCCGGGATACTGTCCCCGATGGCCATGATGTCAGCGCTCGCGACCGAGACGCCCACCACACGGGGACGCTGAAGCCCCGATACTACGTGCGCCCACTTCTCCGCAAATGCAACAAGGCGCCGTCGTATACGAGCCCTGCGAAGAGTGCGAATGAAGTTCAAACCAGAATACGCCATGTGCAAACCTTCCCGATGGGCCAAATACGAGCATCCCCTCTCTTTGCATACTGCCTCGGATGGGATCCTATACAGATCCGATACGGACTGTATACGATCCTATACAGATCCGATACGGACTGTATACGATCCTATACAGATCCGATACGGACTGTATACGATCCTATACAGATCCGATACGGACTGTATACGATCCTATACAGATCCGATACGGACTGTATACGATCCTATACAGATCCGATACGGACTGTATCGGATCCTATACAGACCCGATACGGACTGTATACGATCCTTCACAGATCTGATACGGACTGAATAGGATCCTACACAGATCTGATACGGACTGAATAGGATCCTACACAGATCCGATACGGACTGCATAGGATCCTACACAGATCCAATACGGACTGCATAAGACCCTTTCCAGATCCGATACGGACTGTATAGGACCCCCTACAGATCCCATACGGACTGTATAGGATCATATACAGATCCGATACGGACTGTATCGGATCCTATACAGATCCGATACAGACTGTATGGGACCCTGTACAGATCCGATACAGACTGTGTGGGACCCTGTACAGATCCGATACAGACTGTATGGGACCCTGTACAGATCCGATACAGACTGTATGGGACCCTGTACAGATCCGATACAGACTGTATAGGGCCCTGTACAGATCCGAGGCCCGCACTGCGACCCCGTCCCACTGGGTCGCAGCGCGGGCCTCCGCTATATGGCAGAGGCCACGAACCGTGTGAGGGGCGCGCCGAAATGGGCCCCAGGCCTTCGGCTCCGCCCCCTGTGGGGCCACGAACCGTGCGAGGGGTGCGCCGAAATGGGCCCGAAACTTTCGGTTGCCCGTCCGGACCCCCCCCCCGGTTGTTGTGAGTGTTGTGTGTGTGTGTGTGTGTGTGTGTGTGTGTGGGGGGGGGGGGGGGGGGGGGGTGGGGACACGGGTCGGGGCGCCCCGCATTACTAACAACAACAACAACAACAACACAACAACAACAACAAACAAAAAAAAAAAAAAAAAAAAAAAAAAAAAAAAAAAAAAAAAAAAAAAAAAAAAAAAAAAAAAAAAAAAAAAAAAAAAAAAAAAAAAAAAAAAAAAAAAAAAAAAAACGCTCTCTGTCGACAAATGGTCGTATTATTTCTGCTGTCGCTCAAAAAAGTAATGAATCAAACACATTAAAATAATTGAAATTAGAATCCCTGGAGGTGATTTGTACATAGAAATATATATATATATATATATATATATATATATATAACTAAAATTACATAAAATAAATGTAACTATAATATGGTTCATTACATTTTCAAACATAAAATATCTTAGAATTTCGCTTGCTGTCCCCAAGTTCTCAATTAAAGTTGACTCGTTACGGTAAAAAAACATGTCTGTGTTCGTTCTTGAAAAACACATTAACAACATGTTATTTACGTATTTCGTTTTCGTTCTGCCGTTTCATTTGCACTGTTTCAATTTTTCTTGGATAGAAAAAGGCGGGGGGGGGGGGGGGGGGGGGGAATGTAAATATCAAATTCAAACGGCGAACTACTGCAATTTAAACTCTCTGGAATACCATTGGAACATTCCTCGTGATATGCCGAAATCTTTCCCCGGAAAACGATATTAATTTACACAATTCTGACATAAAACAATGCATCATTATATATCTCTTGTGAGAAACAGATGTCACAATGTCATTGTATCCAACATGTCAACCAAAACGTGAAATCATATTGTATCGAACGCTACTCTTTCTAAACGAACAAACTGAAAATACGAAATGACGCTTTACAATCAAAATATATTGTTCAATTAACTTCAATATAGGAAACCAAAAATAATCAATATAATAGAATTTCAAATCCATGTTATAATAACTTTTGGATTTTGAAATTAACACGCAATTGATACGTTAAAAACCTGATACATATCGGGCATAGATCCATTACAAGAAACATATACATACGAATTCACGAATGACTATTTTTCAATTTCTTATTCTAATCTCTTGTATATACGTGTATATATATATATATATATGTAAGAGGATGCATTTCGAACAAGCCTGAAATCTCTCCAGATTCCTGCTTGAAACCAGAAACACCGTCAACACATCTGCAGGAACAAATTCTGAGTAAGAGACCTTCGTTGGCCGTTTCGTTTTCCTTGTCTCTTCTGCTTTCCAGCAGGCCTCAGCTAAATATTATTTGTTATAGTTTGTTCTTTACATCCCCGCGAAACAAAGACCTCGCCATTCCTTTCGAATCAATCCAAAAGGCGGCAATAGCAGAGGCCCACGTGCGCCCCGGGTCAGAAGCCTGGAAAGAGGCAGCCAGAAACCAGATTTCAAAAAAAAACTGATCATCATTTTCCGGATTGCTTCAAACAGCACGCGGCCGGAAAATCCCGGCAGCAAAGTAAGCTAAACGCCGAGAAAACCATAGGACGGAAGGACAAGAGGGGCAAGGGAGGGGGGGAACGGAGGAAGGGCGAAAAGGAGAAAGACGGCAGCAGCAAACGACGACTTGTTTTTTTTCTACGCAGCCTCACGGGGACGAACCAAGCCACACGCGGGTCACACCAGCGTCAACGCGCACTAAAAATTGAAGAATAAAATAAGCAAGAGACGGAAAGAGAAAGCGGAACGAGGAAGAAAAGAGGAGGACAAGAGAAAGACGAACAGAGAACAAGAAGAAGAAGGAAAAAAAGAAGAAGAACAGAAAGAGGACGAAAGAAGAAAACGAGAAGGAGGGAGGGAGGGAAGTGGGCGCGGCAAGCAGGCAAGCAAGCAGGGGGGGAGCGAAGAAGAAAAAGAAAAGGAAAGCGCCGGACGCGCCGGGCGAGGATAAAAAAAAACGCCTGCGGACCGAGCACCGCTCAGAACCCGCGCGGGGGGAGGAGCAGAGGAGAAGAGGGAGACGGCGGACGACGGCAACGACAGCAGCAAACAGGAGAAGAGAGGGGGGGGAAGGAGGGGAGGGAAGAGAGAGAAGACAAGAACAACAAGGAAGGGAGAGGGAGAGAGACAAGATGGAGAGCTAGCCGGGCGGCTGCCAATCCTGGCACCGGCGCAAAGGGTGGTCTGCAAACGGAACGCGGCAACTTCAAGTATTTGTCCAGTCAGGGTACGAATCGGCCATTTCCCTGAGCAAAGTTTGGAGAAGCGCTTGAAAGTCGTGGACACTTTGGGCAGCCACAATGCTGTCTGGACCAGACAGTCTGGTAGAAGGTTATATACTCCTACTGAGCCAAGAACAGAACGGCGAGCAAAATCTGGAGCGCGAAGCTGGACAGGGTCAACCAGGTGCCGGGCGTGACGCCGAGGAGAGCGAGGAGGAGGAGGAGGACCGGAAGGGGAGAAGAAGGAGGAGAAATGGGCGGAGCCATGGCCAAGCACGACACGGCGGACAACGCCGAGCATCGCAATGTCTCGCCGGAAGGCCAGAGGAGCCAGCGAGAAATGATATAACGCTTCTCTTTCCGTTATCGCAACAGCAAAAAGAAAGCTGGATTGAACAGCGTCAAGAGGAGCAAGAGAGGAGGAGGAGGCGAAGTGAAAAACGCAACTTCGGTACTCTATATATGACACAATCTGGGCTTGGTATAACAAGATAATATCAGCAGGTTTATAGAAATAACGGCATCGCAACAAACTACGTAATTTCCATCCACAATCACAAATACAGGTCTGAATGGCTCCATGCATAACAAGCGAAGGTCAAACACAATTCCCAACAACTGAAATGATGCTCCACACGGACGGCTGCGAGAAATGATATGCTTGCTTTCCTCGCCAGGGTCACGAACGACCCGGTTAGCAGCGCCCCACCTGCGCAGAGAAGTTTGACACTCGTCAAGCACGCGGTGGCCCTGGTCGTCTCTAACACTGTTGTCGACCACCCGGAGAGCAATGAGGTCATCCGCATAAACGAGCTCTTCAAAAATAGTGGCCCGAACGGCCATGCACGAGTCAGAAAAAAAGGCGCTCCAAAGCGGATGCCCCAAGACAGCGCCTTAGTGAATCATACCCATGCGGGCCGCGACAATTTACCTTGAACTCGCGGGTGAGCACAACGTTGCTTGAACACGATATCACTTGAGCCGAAATTGCTTGAGCCAGTTGCCGAACAGTGGGCGTCCCGGGTGTTACTGCAGCTCTGGTGATAGAACCGGCCCTTCTGGTAATCCTGATCCTGTTCCTCCTGGTTTGACGGCTTCATCCGATGACAAGCTTAATTTTATCATGGGCAATATGATTACGCAAACACAGTTTAACTGTCAAATGAACCAGCACTCCATTGATTTTCTATATTTTTGTATTTTTATATCAAACATGTTTTATTGTTTATTTGTTCTGTTTGCAATGTTATGTTTTTCTTTGTTCTATCTATTTATTGTATTATTATTTTTTGGGTATTTATAAATTACCTCGCTGCAGCACGAACAAATAACCTCACCACACGTGAACGCAAAAACTGCGCGCGCGAGGTCTCTCAGAGACAACAAGACCAACGCAAAGAAAGAGGAAAAAAAATAGGGGGGAGGACGGGAGGGAAACGGAAAAGGAAGGAAAAACAAGCGGATGACAACGGAGAGGATGAAAAAAGGAAGGCGCAGGAAGCGCCGGCACGCCGTGCAAAAAAAACGCATCCCGGCTGCAGTCCACACAGCACGAAGGGGACGAGGAGAAAGCGAGAAGGAGGGGGAGCGCCAAACGGACAGCAGGCACGACGACGAACGAAGGCGATGGCGAAACACGACAGCAGCAGGCAAGAGGGACGGAAGGAAGGGGGAGCAAAAAGGAGGGAAGGGGAGGGAAGGAAGGGGGAG